AAAAATATTCAAAAAAATTCAAAAAAAAACTTTCATTCAAAATTTAAAAATCCTCTTCTCAAAAAAAAAAAAAAAAAAAAAAAAAAAAAAAAAAAAAAAAGAAGAAAATAAAAGTAGATATAGAAATATATCTCAATGATGGTACTTAATAAAAAAAAAAATATTATCAATTCTCTTGTTTTCTTCTCTTCGTCTAACCCATAAAATGCTAATTCAGATTACTTTCCTTTTCCATAGTGTGAAAGTGGCTGATTATATATTCTTATTTTGTTTTTTTTTCTATCCTAAATCGAATGTTAATATACAAGAGGCCGTTTATTCAACATATGAACATTTTTTTTTGTTTTTTTTTTCATTTTGTTCTACAAATTGCTCAATAGATATGAGATTTCTACATGCCGATTGTTCTAAGATTATTTTTATATATATATATATATTATGATCACCTGTTCTCTCAGAAGAAATAGAAGAGACTATTTTAAAAACTAATAAATATGAGTAACATATAAATATATCTTCGTCTTTCCACACAATATGTTCTATCAATTTGTCTCAGATGATTATGATTATTAGTATTGTTTTTTTGTACATACATCATAAATACACATATTTCTCTTTTCATCATACTCTTTTTCATACCTCATATTTTTGGTTTTTGTTTGTTTGCTTCTGTATGGCTACAATATTTTCATTATTATTAAAAATGTTGTTATTAGCGTATCTCACAAAAATAAAAGAGTCATGAAGGTGAGTTTTCATATGATACTGTGAGTAAATTCTCTTACAATTTCATGATCAAAGACGGTTAGAAAAATCTAAAAATAAGGAAGATTGTAAAATGTTTTCACAATTGAAGGACATTTTCTTTTTTATCCTTCTTCTTTTTTGTTTTTTTTTTTTTTTTTGAAAACAAAAATTCAAACTGGAAACTATAGTATCCAGAAGTAAAGAGGATGAAACCTTTCCATTCCAGATTCTTACATGTACGAATCTTTTTATTTTATTGAAATATGTGTTACAACAAGAGATAGTAAAAATCCTATTATATCAAACGGAAAAAGAGTAAGTATCTTATCCGGTAAAATGTAAGAAAGAATGGACACATTAGAAAAAGAACCTAGAATGCATACAATTTTTCTCAACCATATTTAGCTCTATTATGTATGTACCATTTAATCTAGGAATAAAAACATGAAGATTTACTTTTTATCATTGTCTAATTAGTAGTTTTTTAACGTTGAAAATTGTTTACATGATCGATGGTGGAACCTACTCATAGACAACGTTTTCTTCTTCTTTTTTTCTTTCCCTCATATTCTCAAAGATTATTGTATAAAATTTGTCATTCTAACTGATACATATTATTAATATAATATGAAACATACAAATAACTGAAGAAAAAAAAAAACATTGATGAAATAAAACTGACAAATTTGATTTTTTTTTGTTTTTATCAAATTTTGAAATATTTCAATTTCTAAAATAGAATAAAAGATCAATATCTTAAATATATATTTATTTATTTATTATATTTTCTTTTATTTTTAGATAATCAAATAAATTAACATGCGTTTAAATAAAGAGAGTATTGATCCTCGTATTCTATGTAATGTATTAGCACCAATTTTTATTTGTGGTTTTATTGGTAATATTATTTGTATTATTGTTTTTTTACGACCACGTTTTCGTCTTCGTTCAATATCTGTTTATTTTATTGCTCTATTTTTTAATGATTGTCTTTTATTATTTATTTCACATGTTGGAAAAATGTTAATATTTGATGCACAAGAATCATGTTGGTTTAATTCATATTTAACAAAATTTATTAATATTATTAAATATCGTGAAATGATTTATAAAAAATCTTTATCTGTTTTAACTTATAATACAACATATACTCAAATAGCTATGTTAATATTTATGTTTATGTCAATTCAACGTGTAAGAACATTTTCATCATTATCTTATCGTGAAAGTAAAATGTGTGCACTATTATTAACATCAATTGCATTTATATATGGAATTATTGTTTCATATGTACAATTATATGATGGATTTTGTATTCATAATTTAAATTTAAATTCAACAGAACATACAGATATAGATAATATAATTAATCAAACAAGATATAGAAATGAAAATTGTCTTATACAAAATCAAAAATTAATGACAACAACTATAACTAAACGTACATTTTTATTCGATGAATTACGTGAGTAAGACATTTTTTAATAGTGAAAATTTTTATTTTTATTTTTATAGTGCTTAATTTTGATCATAGATGAGAACAAAAATGATATGATGATATTTTCAAATCTTTTGTCTCTCTATTGTCTCTTCGAAAATTTATGAGAAGAGTAAAGAACAATATGAATCTCTCGGGTTAGCCACGTAACTCTATCACCGTAGTGTCATTTTTCCATCACGTTTTTTTTCCATTTTATTTCTTTCTATAATTCTCGAATGAGAGACACGTCCAGAGTTCGACAACATCTCATATCAAAGAGAAGTGTACTGAATATTTGGAAATGTTTATATACTCTAGATGTTCTGTTGTTTTTATAAAACTACAGCAAATAGACGAATTGCTACTTTTTTGGAAAACTATTCAGCATATATTTTTTTCTTCTTCTCATTGATATGAGACGCTGCAGAGCTCTGAATGTATTCTCATTCGAGAATGATAGAAGAAATCAAATGCAGAAAAAACGTACCAGAATTACACTGTAGTAGCAGAGTTACGTGTTCAAGTCACTCTGCAACTATTTTTCAAAGTTGTTGCCATGAATCAGTCATCAGTTTTTGAAGAAACAATGTTTTCATCTGCCGAATATTTGTCATTTTCAAGAGTATACTATAGAGATGGGGAGCTGATAAATTTTTCTATGGCAACATTAGACGTCCTTGACAGCAAAAATACTTGGATGGTGCATTTTTTTTACCAGTAAAGTAAGCCATGTTTTACACAGTAAACCTCTGACTAAAGGTAGCGTATAATCTTACAGAATGTTCTCCGTCTTTAGTGACTAATATCTCTAAAAAAGATATATAATCAATCATAAACTTAAAAAACTTGAAAATAACGATTATTGAGAATTTTCCTGAAGTATTCATGCGAGGATTTCAGAAGAAAATCACATAAGTTTTCTAATATTGAAATATATTCATCAGTTTTCTAACAGTAATAAAAAATATCAATGAATCACATTCTTTTCAAAAGTACTTGAAATTTTTCTCTTGGTAGTTGATTCATCAGAGAAAGTTACTATAACATCAATAATAGTGGCGACTAGATAGAGCTGGACAAGTCATTTTGTCCAAATCCTTAGTAAAATCTCTATAACGTTTTAAGATACATGGTATGATAATAATTTAGACACGGTTGTGTTCAGAAATAATTAGGCTATAAAATGATGCATTCCATTGCGATACTGTGATGACTTCCTGGAAACGATGACTTGATAAATATGCACTTCAATTAGCTTGAAATGTTCTCTCATCGTTTCCAGGAAGTCGTCACAGTATCGCAATGGAATGCATCATTTTATAGCCTAATTATTTCTGAACACAACCGTGTCTGAATTACTATCATACCTGGACTATTATACCTGAAAACGTTATAGCAGGGCGTCTATCCTGTGGAATGTTTCAGGCGCAATGTTTCAAACAAAAGTAAGATGCGACACTTTTTTTGCTGTAAAAATTCATTTCTCAGGTGGTACACTTAGAGATCGATCCTTCGAAGTGGGTACAAAATCCCTCAGATATTGAGGTGGGGATAGAGACCCCACGATGCACTATAGAGATTTTACCAAGAACTTTGACAAAATGACCTGCCCAGTTCTGGTGATCACACGATCTACGGACACAAACTTAACTAAAATTTATAAAAATTTCAAAAATATCAAGAGATATGCAAGTTTCTGTAGAGAAATCCTTTCTTAGAATTCTTGAACACTTCTCGTGAAAATTCTACATGGTTCAATAACAGAAATTCTGTGCAAATTTTATTATGTACGGACATACCGAGTAGCGTTATATTACGAGAATTGATACTAGAGATGGGCACCGAGACCAAAAAAATTTTCTGGTCCCGGTAAAAGATTTCATTGCCGTTCCATCACCTTCACAGTTAAAATATCATTTGGCTGTGCATTTTGTAGAGAAATGTTTGCTCTTTCAGCTTATATATTCTAAAATATACCACAGATCTTCGTTACGAATTAATTTGACAAATACAATGAACGGGATCAATCTGGTCCCGGTCGATCCCGGCCATGTATTTGCTAAATTGATTGATAAAAGAGACTCGCGAAATATTTTAGAATATATAAGCTGAAAGAGCAAACATTTCTCTACAAAATCCACGGCCAAATGATATTTTAACTGTGAAGGTGATGGAACGGCAATCAAATCTTTTATCGGGACCAGAAAATTTTTTTGGTCCCGGTGCCCATCTCTAATTGATACACGTCACTATTTAAATATATATGTGAGAGACTATTGGCTTGTACTACTGAAAGAGTATCACTTAACAATAGTATCTTCTAATATAATATACTGCGCATTTTGTGATATATTACATTTTTTACATTTTATTTATTTATTAATTTATTTTTAGCTGTAAACACCGATGATCCATATGAAACATTTAATCTTTTTTCTAAATCTACGACCTTTATTCCGTCTGATCTAGAACTACTTATAAATAATCCCTATTCGTCTTTTAATTCACGTCAAAAACGTAATCTATTTTCAAATACGAGTATAAATTCAATTGATAATCAAACATGTTATAATGAAGATGAATTACATTTATTTCGTCATCGTTCAATTGCTCATATTCATTTACGTCAATATATGATTATAAATTGGGAAGATGAACTTAAAAATCCAACCGATTGTCATTTAAAACAATTTCCATCTGAATTACGATTATCTATTAATAATCGAACACAAATTAATCATTTTAAACCATTAAAACATGATTATTTTCTTGAACATCAATTTTGTACACAAACTTATCAATTTTTAGAATTATATGCCAATTGTACATTTCCATTAAAACCATTAACATTTCAAAATTCATATAAATTTTTATATGATAGACGATTTTCTTTTAATCGTTATACAATCGGATTTATTCTTGGAACATTTATACCATCATTTATTTGTATTGTATCAAGTATTATATGTCTTTATTATATTGCTAATCGACCATCAATAAGAAAACATAGTCATTCACGAGCTGAATTAAGAAGTATTTATTTAATATTAGTTGAAATTACTCTTAGTTTATTAAGTGCTTTACAATCATATATTATTAATTTTACAACTTGTCATCATATTTTATTTCGTAAAGAGACAGATAATTGTTATGGTACAGGTGATAATATTTTACCCAATTTTCTTGGTAGTATTCTTGAACTATTTACATCAACATCAAATATAATTATTTTATGTATATGTGGATCACAATTTCGACATGAATTATTAACAATATTTACATCAATTAAAATAAGTCAAAAACGTAGACATGGTAATACTTCACATTCTCAGATAAATTATAATAATCATAATCATTCAATAATTGATAATCCTAGTATACTTGTACAATTACCACATGATCGTACAACGAATTCATGTTTAATTTATAAAAAAAATGATATAAACAACGAAAATAATATTGATTTAACAAGATGTTTATTAAAATCTACAACCGTATGATATAATTTTTCTCAGATATAAGAGAGAGTCATCCCTATTTTTCTTCTTCTTTTTTTTTGTTTTTTTGTTTTTTTGTTTTTTTTACGTATTTTGTTACAGAGAACGAGAGAGCAAGCACTTCACTCAATAAATGTTTGTATGTGTTTTTTTGATTTTTGTTTTAGTGCATCATGCAATAAAATGATTTGTTGTTAGTCAAGAACTAATCTACATCATCATTTTTCCTTGACATAAACCCAATTCACAATTCCTATTAGAGAGAAGTGAAAATTTTGTTAAAAGATCCATTAACAATGAATAAATTTTTGACTTTTTAAATATTTAGTCTTTTCTGTTTAAACTGATTTCTCATAAATATAGATATATTTATAACAAGGGAAAAAAACAAATAATAGTTAATAATCTCTAAAAACAAAATAATTTTTTCTTCTATTGATGTTAAATTTCGATTAGTAGAAATAGCAAAAAAACCAATAGATCAATATTGACTATCATTAACATTTCTTTTTAAAATATAATTTTAATAAAAACATTATTATTTCTTCAAATAAAAGTTTAATCTTGTTAAAATATTCTATCTACATGAAAATATAGCCGAAAAATATGTTTCTAGTCAAAACTTTTGTTTTAATAGATTTTTTCACGGTCGAATGAACGTCATAGTAGAGATTTTATAGTTAAAATTTGATAATTTAATCAAAAATTACTTCATAAATCAGATTTACAATTAGAGGAACACAGTAGAAATTACTGTGGATTCTAATTTCTCATGACGGATTACAGTTGCAAGTTCTTCTGTCTATCGTGCTATGAAAAACACTATATCCAAGTATAACTCTGGAATTGAAATGAGATATACTGTCAAATGCGCTGATTTCAAATATCAGATGCGGCAGAGAAAATGAGCTTCTCACGAAGGAACGCCCGCACATTTCCCCCGCACATTTCCGATTAAAATGAGACCTCTTCCAACTCTACATGACCTTTCTTTGCAAAGTTATAGAATTTACAAGAAAAGCCCTAAATATTTATTGTCAACGAAAGATCATGTAGAGTTGGAAGAGGTCTCATTTTAATCAGAGATGTGCGGGCTACAAGCATGATTTATTAAGAAAAGCTCTGGTTGCTTTACAGAGTTTCTGAAAACTGGTTTTCCAGAAACCCGAGTCTTCGAAGTCCTAAGAGCAGCTCTCATATTCATATTCGGAATCAGCATCATCGATAACCTATAACCCACTAGGTTTCGTTGAAAAAGCGAGGAGGCACTTAAAAACGTTCCCTGGGCAGTATTTTCTATTTTTTCTCGTTTTCCTTTAGGAACCTAAGGTTAATATTTTTTTTAAAAGATGTGTCGCGAAATACTCTACAAAATCATACATAAACTTTAATTTCAGAACTTTAATCAAGAAAACTACGCAAATTAGACGAAAGAAATTAAAACTTTCTAAATTCCAAAATGATTTGAAAGTAAGGAAAATTGAATTAGCCATTTTGTAGCCCTGACTTCGCTCTATCTTTTAGCTACACTTCAAAACTTTTTCACATCAAAACCCATGATGGAATAACATTATGAGCGTAATAGAATAAAAGCTCCGAAACGACCTTTCTGGTTTCTAGCTGAAGTGCTGGCATTTTGTATATGAACTTATTTTAGAATATGGGCAGTGCTTTCAGTAAAAGTCCCATAACCCCATCAAAACAAAAGATTTTTCCATCGGATTTGGTTTTTTCTATCAGAAATAGTTGCTTTTCTCAATCTAACTGCAAAATCAAAACTTCGGTCATGTTTTCCGCTTCTTAATTGAACATGTTGCCAGAAGCGGAAGGCTGTCAATTTTTGAAACTTCGTGCTCGAACACACCATCTGCTGTAAAAAAGTTCTTTACAAGCCAAAAGAAAGAGCACATTCGAAAGTACAAAAAGTAAAAAATTTCCTACACTTCTTTACGGAAATAATAGCAAAAGAAAAACGTTCAAGTCGAAAAAACTACCAAATTTACAAACTTTTCATTTTTTTTCGTCTTTCGTCTAATTTGCGTCGTTTTCTTGATTGACGTCCTGAAATTAAAGTTTAGGCATGATTTTGTAGATTATTTCGCGACACATCTTTTAAAAACTAACATTAACCTTAGATTCCTAAAGGAACATGAGAAAAAATAGAAAATATTGAGAGGCTCATTTTCTCTGCCGCACCCGAGATGACATTTTTAGATGTCATCGTTACATTCTTGCCGGGTTAGTCTATTGTTCTTCTTCTATTATCGCTAAACACTCGACATACAGTGTCTGGCAGACACAGAAAACTCGTGTAATATGCAGTTTTACAGACAAACTTTTTAACTACAATTTGACCAATCTGAAATTAGTTTTCTGACTTATCGTATTTGAGAAAAATGTCTTTTATCGAATATGCGTCTTTTTTGCTAAATAACATGATCCTTTTTTGTCACAATTTCTTCAAGAAAACCAAACACATCAAATACAGTGAAATATACCAGAAGAAAGTAACTCTCTACAACAAAGTTCATTAGAAATATGTTATTGTTTTTCTCCATCAAGGTTAAAAAAATCATGTTATCTAGTAAAACGATAGATGTATGATAAAAGACATTTTTCTCAAACACAATAATAAACAATTGTTGCACAAACTCACTACTTGGCAATACTCAAAAAGAACTAATTTACTCACCGAGATTCATCCCCATCATAGTTACTCAGTTGAAAAAAATTAAACATGTATTGTATCTCTTAAGATGGATAACGATTCTTTCAACATTGGAATCGTTAATTTTTCTGGCTGATTTTAACTTTCTATAAAAGTTTATTTTGAAATGAAAGTCATTAACACGCATCCAAGAAAAATATAGATTAGCGAATACAACGTAACTGGTATCAGAAATCATAGTAAATTTAAACGAGAAAAAAACGAATATCGATCAGAAAAAAGTAGCTTTTAATAAAAAAACAAACAAAAAAAAAGCCCACTCTAATACAAAAACACAAAACAAAAAAAAAATTAAACATATAAAAAAAATATCACGTATTTTCACTCGGATGTTTAAGTTAATGTATTCTATTAACAAATTGTAGAGGAATCATTAATTCTAATAATGATGAACGTTTTGTTAATAAACTTTTATCCGTAATTTTTGTTACAAAATTGGACCATGCTATTTCTTGTAGACTTAATGGACGTACATGAAACATAAATAAATTTGATATTCGTTTTTCACGTGTTAACTCATCACCATCTTGATCATTATCCGTTAATAAAACACCACCATGTGACCAAATCTCTCCTCGCTAATATAAATAAGACAATAGATTATCATTAACAAATATAAAAGAGAAATATATGTATTTTTTGTTTCACCTACTTGATTCATTGCAGCAGCGTGAAAATAAGTTGATGTAATCATTTGTATCGGTAATTTAGTCCATTCTAATTTATTGAAATCAAATGACCATACATTTTTTTCAACTAAAAAATGTTGATTTTGCTGAATATCAAAATGTGCACCTCCAAATACGAGTAAACGATTTTCACTTATTTTAAATACACTATGAAATTTTCTCTCAGAAGGATAGCCTAGAAAAATATAAAATAAATGAAAAAATATTAGTGTAAAAAAAAAGAAACTAAACTCACTATGTACAGGATCTGGTATTGTTTTTAAAAATGACCACGTATGTGTATTCAAATCAAATATGGGAATCTAAAATAAAACCGTTAAGACCATATTTTAGAGACAGATGCATACACGATACATACCAATTTCAATGAAAATGAGATGCCTAAAATTCCTCCACCGCCAAAGACGAATATTTTATCGTTGTGTAATACAGCTTCTTGACGATATCTAACAAAAAGCCACACACAAAATGGCATGTGCGGTAGATAAACTCTTACTAACGAGGGGAACCTTCCCAGATGATGATACAGATGCTACTTTTTTTGCTACGTTCGTTTGGGCCATAACTAAGTTCCTGAATGGATCTTTCAAAACCTGGTCTCTAGAGACCCATCACGCATCTGAGAACCGAAAGACACTGTCATATCACTTTGTACAACTTATCGAGTTGCATATGCAGAAAATTTTTCTTAGCTACTGGGCAAGTTTTAACGGAGCTACAAAAATTTTCCTAGTTAATACGGTGAAAAGCTCGAACTTCTGAGCTTTTTTTTCTAATACGATTTTTGTAGCTCCGTTAAAGCTGCTCAATAGCTGTTAACGAGGGAATCTCTCGAAGTGATAAAACGCTTTTTGCTCGGAATCTGGTGGATTATAGGTTATCGACCGTGCTGATTACGAATATGATTATGGAGGTGGCTCTTATCCCTTCGAAGATCCGGTTTTCTAGAAAATCAGTTTATCAGAAACTCTAAAATATAACCGGAACCTTTTTTAATGAGACATGATTGTAACCTGCAAATTCTTGAGCAAAATGATACATCTCCCAGCTTTACACGACTTTTCTTTGCAAAGTTATAGGATGTACAAGAAAAGCCCTAAATTAATTTCTTTTTATTTCTGTAGCTTTGAGCTGACAATGAACATATAGGGCTTTTCTTGTACATTCTATAACTTTGCAAAGAAAAATCGTGTAAGCCGGGAGATGTCTCATTTTGCTCAGAAATTTGCGGGTTACAATCATGCCTCATTAAGAAAGGTTCTGGTTATATTTTACGGTTTCTGAAAAAGTGGTTTTCTAGAAAATCAGGTTTTTGAAGGGTTGAGAGCCACCCCTATGGTCATATTCATAATCAGCACGGTCGATAACCTATTATCCACCAGATTCCGAGCAAAAAGCGTTTTATCACCTCGAGAGATTCCCTCGTAAGAGAATTTTTCTACATAGGCAACTCGACGAGCTGTACAAAGTGATATGATCAAAGTCTCTCGACTCGCAGATTCGTGGTGGATCTCCGGAGATCAGGTTTTGAAAGATCGATTCAGAAAGTCAGTAATGACCCGAACGAACATGGAAAAACTAGGTTTAACAAGAAAAGCTTGGTATCACCTGAGAAGGTTCCCTCGTAAGATTTTGTAGAACAAATTAGAGTTAAGTTTGTGTCATAAGTTTTTATCAGTTATCAAACCAGTATTGATAACTGAAAATGTTGAACATTATAAAAAAATGGATTCTTTTCTTACCGTCCCGCCTCAAATGGTTCTTCGATTTCATCAAATGTATGTCCAATTTTTATACTCTGCATTGTTGGCAAATGAATTTGATATACATCAGAATTATATCGTAAACTATTTGTTCCACATAGAATATATAAATATTCATTTTTAATCAACATACTTGCACCGTAGACTTTCCCAGGTGGGTCTGTCAGTAATTTATGACGTTTCCATTTTCGTTGTCGTAAGTCCAATATATAGAGATCGTTTGAACCGTGTTGACCAAATGGAAAACCCGTTCCTCCAAATACAAACATTAGATGTTGATGAAGACAAACAGCATGTGATGCTAATGTTAACGTTGGACCATCCCCAATAGTTTCTTCTTTTGTCCATTGTTTCAGAGCAAAATTGTATCTCCATAATTCTCTAAACATAGATTCATTTTGATTTGTTTGACGCGGAAAATAGCCACCCCATAACCATAGGTCAGAATCTGTTGCTACGGCTCGATGGCCACTTCGAGGAGATGGTCCTAATTGTTCATTTATTGGATATATCTCAGTAAATTGCATCATATTTTTCGATGATTGTTGAATTCGACGAGTATTATCGGATGATTGTAACATTCTCAATAGAAGATCACTGTACAAAGACGACGATACAATTTTTTAACGACGATCACATTAGCTATTTGTGTATCATTAAATATGACGAAGAAAAAATTTATTTAATCATCAATAATATTGTAACATATGAAAGAATAAGATAAATAGCTAAATAAAGAAAAACAAAATAAAATTAGTCAATGTTTTGGTAATGAGTTAGATTTTCTCATGTACAAGATGTTTAATTCAATCGTACTTTTGTTTAAATATTCAATACTGTAACGAGATCGTTTGCTCACTTACATAATTGACAATATTCATTGATTAACATCATTATGAATTGTTTTACATTGACATTCTTTGACTTTTTTATGTTTCTTATAAAACTAAGTATATTTAATATAATTGAAAACATTTTTGTAAAGAAGAAGACTCAGAGAGAGTTGTTTTATATGCATTACAAATGCTTTTTGCATATGAAATAAAGTAACAACTAACAAATTATCGATTTCGTTTTATCTTCACAAAACAAACAAAAACATTTTGTTAAAATCTAAGAAAACTCGAGAGAAACTGAAAAACTGGAGGGAGTATAGACGTCATAAGAGAAAACGAGTAATACTGTGCTGTCAGTTAAATCTGTTCCTTTGTTGAATATATGTAATGATCGCATCTAGTAAACATATTAGTGTGTCATTATCGAAATTTAAGCTGTTCAGTAGTAAAGTCTCCACTGTAAATGTATTCAAAACAGAAAGTTGCTGCATAAGGTGTTGGCTTTCAACATTATACAATCTATAGTGGACAAAATAGTGATCAATATCTTTCCTAGCATATCTGCAACTACATTTAGCCGAATCAATACATTTGCGCCGATAGAGATAGTAGTTTAGTTTCGAGAAAAGTACTCGTCAAACTTTTCTACGAATACTATTAACAGATAAAAACAGTTGTTTTTTTTCTTGTTTTTTATTATTTTATTTTCTATAGAACGTATACGCGTGAGGTATACGTTAACAAAAACAAAATACATCAAATGTTCATTGAATATACAAAATAAAATAATAAAAAGCAAGACAGAGTAATTTTTGTTCTACTCTCAATACATTGGATATTTTTTTGAAATACAAAATAGTGTCGTATACGTCGCCTACTATTTTCCCAAAAATATGAAAGAATCAACAGGAGTTTATGTGATCATTTTGTTCTCATTCTTTTTTTCCACGTCTCATACTCACCATCTTGCACATCTACAAAGAATTTCTCGTTAGTCAAAAACGATCTCTTTTAATCTAAAAACTATTCGTTACAAATTGATTATTTTTATTTCAAAAGAGAAATACAAACGTCAAACGCAACAGAAAAAAAATGATTCTAAATAGGTAACATGAAAAACGCTGTTGATATTTAAGACCGAAAAAAAGAAGAAAGAGTATGTTCTATTTAACTTTTTTTCTTTTATAGAACATTCGGTTTTTGTTGTTTTTTTGCTTTCAGTTGCAAATACAAGAGTTCAACATCATCATCGTCATCGTCCTCTGCTGTTTTTGTCACAAGTTTTTGTTTTGGTAATTTTGATAATGTAACATCTTTTTTTCTTTCAATAGGTTGAGGCAATGTTTTACGTTGTTCTTGTTGTTTCACTTGAGGAGGTAGCTGTAATGTTTTTCTTCCATTGTTGCTATCGTTCCATCTTGTTTTTGGACGTTTTTTTGATGGTGAATCATCATCCCAACGAGATCGAAGTGATAGTTCTGATTGATGTGTATTTGTTTCTGCTTGTGTTGTTGATCGTTTTTGTGATTCTGGAGATAATTTTTGTTGTTGTTCATTCAGTGAAAGATCGATGCTTTGAATAAACAAAAACAGATATCATCTATAATTGGTTTTGAACGAAAAGGCGATGGACTGCCCAACGTTTTTATCATCATTAAATCTGTGCGACAGCCGTATTATCTCTCAGCTTGTTGTACGTTTCATTCAATTCAATGCGGCAAGGTAAACTTTTAACGTGAACAGTCCGTTGACATTTTCCTACTGACCTTTTTTGATTTGTCAATGACATCAATAGTTTTGATTTTCCATCTAAATGACCGTTTTTTGATGAATTTACATGGCTTATATCCGGCTTTTTTACGCTAATCATCTTCTTTTCGCTTGTTTGTGATTTCTTATCATTTATCGTAGATTTTTGTTTTGATTTTGAAGAGATTGACGAAGAACTGGATGACGAAGTACTGCTACTGGAAGTAGTTGATGAAGACGAATTCCCCGATGATGAGGAACTAGAAGATGTAGTACTGGAAGAAGAGGATTGACGACGCCGCCGTTTTGTTTTACCACTTGATGAACTCAAAATATAACGTACATTGAACAATATCCGAATTTCAATGCTAAAACATTGGTTGCTTACCTTTTCTCACGACCATTTGTCTTTTCAGTAGTAGTAGAACTCTGTTTTGAGTACGAACGTGAACTAGAATAGACAAAAGAAATGTAACATTGATTTATCGATAGTCTATAGACTAATGCTATTTTACCTCGGACTCTTCGCTGGTAAAGTAGGACCATATTCTAGACGATGTTGTGCTTCTTTTTTCTAAACAAATATATTAAGTATTTAGAACTTAATATGTCTTAAAAAAATTTGGTAATTTGCCTTAGTATGGAGCTCATCGATTTTGTTTCTTGTCTCGATTGAATTTGGTTTACATGCTAGAGCTTTTTGTAAATAATCAATTGAATCATCATAATTATCAGCTCTAAACGTACAATAAATACAAAATAAATGATAAATTCTACTTTTCCAATCTAGAAATAGACAACATACTCATTCGCTAAACTACATAATACATCATGCATATAATTTATAGCATTCTGATGGGATGAATCTAAATCTAGTGCCGATTGAAAATCGGACATTGCACGTTTAAAATGACCTTGATTTGCCAATCTAAATATTAAAAAGAACACTAATAAACTATCGATAAGTATCTTCTAAAATACATATTTTCGACACGAAGTTGATTCAAATTCTCATATAGTATTGAACAACATTATATCGAAGAGACATTTGATTCTGTCAAGGAATCATCGAGAATCTCATAGGATTCCACACAATCTCACGGGGCTGCTATGGGATAAGACGAAATTTTTGCAAACTATCCATGAAACAGGACAGAATGAAAATTTTTAAACTATACATGGAATGGGACAAAAAAATTTCATCTCATGGAATTGGCGGAACGTCAATTCAGTAGTGCGAGTAATATATTGAAGAAAAGAACAAGTTTAAATTTGTTTAATAATAATTTTTGAGAAAAAAGTTTTATGTGACTCCGTGGGATCTCATATGATGAAAGTTTTCTCCTGTAAGAAGACATTTTCATTCCACAACGACCTCTGATCCTAACTATTGATATACAATTTTTTATTCAAATATTTTGTCGTTTTGTTCAACTTTAAGATACTCACAGGGCTCCTCTAGCCACATAACCGTCTACACACGTTGAATCTGTTGATAAGGCTTTATTTAAATGTAATAAAGCCGAATTAAATTGATTTTCTTTCATTAGACGAACACCTGCAGCAACACTAAAGTATAAGAATAATATAAAAAACCTTTTTGTTTATTGTGGATTTTCGACCTTCACGGTTATTCTTAGACAAGAATTGTACTACAAAAACTTTACATCAAATATTCGTTGAGACACAATACACATTTCAGGTACAAAGAGAGAAGGAAAGAGACAAAATAAAATACTTTCTTCTTCTTTTTTTTCTTCTTATGCATAAACAAAAAATAACAATTACCTTTCTAACGCCCAATCCCGATCTTGTTTCTGACGTAATTTATCATAATGTTCTTCCGTTGGAATTTGCTTACTAAAAAAAATAAAGAATCAAGAAATATTAAATAAGGTTTATCTTAATCAAAAATTTCACAAATTGTGTGAATTAAAATGGATCAACGTACTTTCTTAATGGTTCGATTAATGTCATATTTAAAATGTTATTACCAACACTATTTTGCTTTAATTTTTGATATAATGTTGTTACGCATGCTCGATTATTAAATGCTCTTGATGAGTGCAAAATATCTTCATAAGATTGAATTTGATCATCTTTTTGACGTCGTAATAGACTATTAACACACAAAAATAAATGTTAAAAAATTTGGCATACATTTAATTATTATACAATCCTTACGAATAATGTAAAGGTAAATCATCTTCATTTACAATACCCTTGAAAACAAACACAAAGATTGTAAAAAAAAAAGAATAAAAGAATTTTGATAACATACTAATTTTTTCGTGGATGATAACAGATGTCCTAAAATTAAACAATATAAAACTAATCATTTATTTAAATAAATCATTTTGAATATCGAACCTGATTCATCTAATACTTCGATTGTTTTCATAGACGGATGATGTTGATCAATTGTCACATGAATTTCTTCTTTTTGATAATCAACTAAAGTAACACAAACTAAAATAAAAAAGTATTATTAGTAATAATTGACTTTCAACATAAAACAAATATATTTTCATCATTGTAATCTTTGATGATTGACTATAATTACCTCTAATAAGATCCCGACACTTATATTCTCCATCATCGTTCTTATCATTATTTTGTCTCATTTTTTCATCATCTATTGATTGTTTTTTTGAAAAATTTTGTCCCGTACCACCAACACCACCACCCCGAATTGATGATGATAATAAACATGTAGCCTCGAATTGAAACCGAATGAATACGGATGTTAATTATCACAATATAATATGATCATTTTTTAATCTCCAAGAACTTACAGGCAGTTTCAAATGTTCGATGTATCGTCTATTGCCGTCATCAAAGCATAATAAACGTATTAACAACTCACGACAATTAACAGCTAATATACAACCGATTAATAAATGACCAATATGAATAAACTAAATAGAGAAAAATAATTTAAAATAAGCAAAACAAAAATGAAATAGTTTTTGTTTTTGACAAACTGTTCAAAATAC